GTGGGCTTTGGGCCAAGTTAGTGCCACTAAGCGAGCTGGCGAGGGTCATTACAGACCATAGTCCATTAATCATACTCCTCGGATCATCAATGGGTCATGGCTTCGATTTGTTGCCGCGTTTCTAACTCTATTGTCCAAGCTTTTTGTCCGAGAAGCTGTCAGGTAAATGTGTTAAAACGCTTTCAAAACATATTTAATGAAGTCTAAGCTGGGGGTTAAGCTAACTTTGGTTCCGAAATGAATAGAGTTGGAAGATAACACCAGGTTAAGGCAGTCGCATGTTTGGTTTAAATGGGATTTTATTCATGAAACTTTAAGAGTCTTTTACACCAGTAAAATATTGTGTACTACCCACTTAGATTTTAGCAAATACTCTTTAACTGTTTATGCATAGTATATGAACCCATCGAGCTATCTTTAAATTCCCCAATCGAGCGGCAAATAAACACTTATCAATCATGGGGAAACTCACGTTTTATGCAAACAATTCTTATCTTGCGATAGCTAAAGCCAGATTCCCCAAACAAAACTGAAGTCGAAGCAAAGCAAGAAGCGAGGGATGACTAAGAATGTCGAAAGAATCAAAGAACACGATATTTTATCGCACCTGGAAACCAAAGACCGCAGAACAAATAAATCTAAAAGTGCGAAATATTTCCCACCTTGCTGATGAAGTTGATCGTCAACCGTAATCATCGGTAATCATTTTCTACCCAAGACCAATTAACACTTCGGATTGAGCCCACACAAGAGACAGAAAAATAATTGTGAACACGCAACGAGGCTTACGTAAGAATCTCCAGATTGTATAATTTACGCCCACTTCCCTTCTTGCAGACGCTCCAAAAATAGGAGAATTTTAATCAGGCGAACATTTTGACGCCAACATATTGATTAATGCCGTTCGATTAGGGCCCCATAAATTCATAAAGGAAAGAGACGGAGCCAATACAGTGATATTCTGCCCCAAAGCGGCTGTCAATCGAAGCGTCATCGAAAAAAGGTGAGCCTGAGAACAATGAAAACTAAATTTGGAAGCCAAAAATTAAAGAGGGTAAAAGAGCGCAGGATACGCAGATTCCACCAGGTCTATTGTACAGTCCAATTTACCTGTCCTTTATGATGTATAAATAGCTCAAAGGGGGACAGACCTCGACAAAATAAAGCACACACAAAAACTGGAGAATTCTTGTAGCCCACTCTTTTTTCCACATTTACGTGTCAAGTTTCAAGCTTAACCCCTTGTTATTTGGTAGTTCCAAAAATTATTATTAAATTATTATTGAATCCCCCTGTTTACCTACTAATTTTTCTGTAAACCAAGTTTAATTTATTACATAAATAATGCACATTTTTCAAGACAAACTCCCCAGAGTTCCTCAATGGGTTAAAATGTTTACTCCTCGCACATGTGCACCCGTCAGACTTTGTTATTATTATTCCTGCCACCGTTTTGACTGCTCTGAGTTTGTTTTTGGCCGTCTTTCGGCTCTTGACTCCAGCCAACTCGACTCGCCTCCTCATTTCAGCACTCCACTTTTATAGCTACTGTATTTTTTACGGCTAATGGGCAGTAACTGTAGAACTGACAGCGAAATTGGCGTGCAAATTGAAAATAGAAGAAACCAGAATTGAATCGACTTCAATGAAATTTTAGGTGAAGCGGCCGACATTGTAAAGAGTTTATGGCCTGATTATGGATAGGCTTGCGGAGAAAAATATAAAAACTCTACTAGAACAACTTATTGATTTGCACAGCTGGCCAGAAAAATGTATCGACAAGAAAGGAAGCTAGCTTCGGCAAGCCGAAGCTTATATACCCTTGCAGTCATCAAATATTTCAAACAGAATATACAAAGCCTAAACAACATCGAAGCAACGACAACTTTTCTATTAATTTTTCATATTTTTGAATATTGTTCATATGTCAGCTATATGATATAGTTGTCCGATTTTGCTGAAATTTTATTTGTTATTCAAGAGTCGTTAGAAAACTCTATATTCCAAAAATCATGATTTTCTGATGAGAAATAAGGATGTTATCATTTTATTTCCGTTAATTCTATATAGATTTTTCGATCTTTCCTATAGAAGCTATATGATATAGTTGTCCGATTTTTATGAAATTTTTTTTATGAACCAAGGCTAGTTAAAAAACTTGATACTCAAAAAATCATAGTCGTGTGATGAAAAACAATGACGTAATCAATTAATTTCCTTTAATTCTATATATATTTTTTGATCTCTCCTATGGCAGCTATATGATAGAGTTATCCGATTTCGATAAAATTTAACCCGAAACTCAATAGTAACTAGAAAACGCCATGTGGAAGAAATCAAGTCGATCTGATTAAAAACAACGGCGTTAGAATTTTGTATTTCAATCTCTTGTATGGGAGCTATCCGATATAGTCGGCCGATCCGGCCCGTTCCGACTTATATACTGCGTGCAATAACTACACACCTTTTGGGAAAGTTTCAGCAAGATAGCTTTAAAACTGAGAGACTAGTTTGGGCAGAAACGGACAGGAGGACAGACGGACAGACGGACAGACGGACAGACGGACAGACAGACAGACGGACAGACGGACAGACGGACAGACGGACAGACGTACAGACGTATTTCGATTCAGATGGTGATGCTGATCAAGAATATATATACTTTAAGGGGTCTAAGGTGTCTCCTTCACTGCGTTGCAAACTTCTGGCCAAAATTATAATACCCTTTGCTCTGCAAGGGTATAAAAATGGGGAAAGGAGGTGCGGAAATTTTCCAGAAGATGTCTTGCCCGCCGGGGGAAATGAAATGAACGTTTGATGAATTGAAACGAAATTGGAAAACGGTTTCAGGTGGCAAAAGTGCAGGGGGATCGTCAGTTAGTTCGATTTATGCTTTATTGAAGGCAATTTGTTGTTTGCCTTTTTTCAGCCAGTAATTGAACATCGTAAATTGCCATCGCCCTCGGTTTTTTTCGATATTGATTTTACAATTTTAGCAAAAAGTCATGGGGAAGAATACACAAGTCACTTTTGGGGGAGATTTTAATTCGACGATCTGATGATGACCAGGCCTTATAAGCCGTTGTTATATAAATGTTTGACAGGCTAACACATCACATCGACAGCAACGAAAGTTACAACAAATAGCCTGATTAAATCGACAGCAATGCGAAATAAAATAATTGCAAAAATATTCAAGGAATGCGGCTAAGCCAAAAGCAGTCAGACAACAAAAACAAAACGAAGCTGAAACAAAGACGTTGACTTCGACATCGACACAGAAAACAATTTGATATCACTTTGCGGCTAACCACAATATATAAATAAAAACTGTTGTAACTTTAACATTTTTTTTAAATTTATTAGGCGATTGAATGCCACATAATATCATTTAAATCAAACAAGTTATTGGTGAATCAGAAAGTTATCTTTGAAAAAACCTGAACCTGTCACTTGTAAATCATTGTATTAATTTCTGGCAGTGCACTGGCTGACAAACACCTGTTTATACGGCCAACCTCCTCGCATAACCAGAGTGAATCATCGACTCCGGTTTGACACACTGAATTTGCCCACACTCCATCTCCTATCTGGTTTTGTTTTATTTTTCCAGACACGTGCCCCCAACCAACCAACCAACCAAAGGCAGACGCATTAAAAAACCATTTCAATTCCCCACTTGAACTTGAAATCTTCTGGCAGAAACTTAAAGCGAGACAAAGGCAGCGCAAAGCATTTTAATTGCATCTTTAAATGCCAATAATGTGAGAATCTGCCCGAATCTTTGTTAATTTCGCTATAAATAGACAATACCCTCAGTGTTTTTGCTTTCCTCGGCATTCCTCTCGACTCGAGTTAAGTTTGCTTTGATTGATGGGCCCTGATTATGAGTCACTCAACTCGAAATAAGTATTATAGAGAAATAGAGAAATATGTGGCGGCTGCGGTGAGATCTGCCCACTGGGTAAGTGGGTTAAGTTGGCCTCCCAGTGATTTGTATTGACATGTCACGGTAATCGGTAATCGGATATAGGGCAGAAAATATTGCGACGATGACTTGTTGAACGCCACAAAATGAGACTAATAAAATGCGGCAAATAAGCGAGCAATAAAATACGCACAACAAATAAAGACCATGAATCAAACTGTCCTCATTGATAAACGAACGCATGTATTTATTTATTTATTGTTCATTTCCTTTGGAAATATTTACATATCCCCAGAGTTTAAAATATTATGCAAATGCATAGTAAATTCAAAGCTCACGCAAAGGCACTTGACTGCTAACTAAATGCATTTTTGGCTTTATTAAAACATATGCTAACGAAGTTCAGCAGTAAAACAAATACTTTAAACTTCAACAACTGCAGGGAACTCCCCTCGCCTTTTTTAAAGTTTGTTTTTTACACTTCAATGCAGAACGGAAATGTGATTTTTTTTCCCCAGTTCCCAGTTTTTTTTGTCGTTTTTCGTTTTCCATTTCTGTTTGCCCGACGACGGGCCCCAAAATGGTTCACTGCACTTGACTCTGCGATTGTGGGCGGATGGAGAACATAGGAAAGGGGCGGGGCTGCGTGCGGCGGGGGATTGGGTTTGTCAACGCTTTTATCTGATGCCTAAAGCAAAACAATATGTCGATGAGGAGGGGAGGGCCAACGGCTCGGGCAGGGGGTCAGCTTTAATTCTTCTTTTGTGGGGGCTACACACATATCAGGTGTGACATGTGTGCTCAAACCGATGGAATGGGGAATGAATCCGATGGAGCGGTTCGAAGGGTGCAGCTCCAATAGAATGTCGTTCAACTTTAAAGTCAGGGAACTTTTCAAATCAGGATGGAGTTTAAAGGCAGATAAAATACCAAACAAATTCTATTATATTTTAAGGAGTTTAAAAACCATAGGAATTTTTTTCCCCTGGAATTTGCTTGCTAAACATATAAATTGGTTATCAAAACTCTTCTCTTTGATTCAGTTTAACCCACTAATAATCCCTGAACTTACCGCACTGCCCCCCATTCAGGGCCAGGCCATCCTTGACCGCCTGCTGCTGCTGCTGGGCGTTGCTGCTGTGCAGTATATCCGACAAGGACAAGGACGAGGCGATCAGCTGGCGCTTCTCCTCGAAGTTGAGGAAGTCCATCGAGTTGCTGCGCTGCGGAGTGACAGTTATGGTCACCGACTTCTGCATCTTGGCCACCACGCAGAGCTGTTGCTCCAGCTCCGATTGTCCGCCCGACTGGGCGTTCGGTGAGTCGGGGGGCGTGGCAGCCTGGGCGGAGGGATGATCGATGCCATCGGTGAGATCGGGCGGTGGAAGTTGCTGCTGTTGCTGTTGCTGCTGCTGTTGCAACTGCAATTGCTGCTGTTGCTGTTGCTGCTGCTGCTGGTAATTGTGGCTTAATTGCAGCTGATGTGGCTGATGCTGGCCGTAGTATGTGAATGCGGACTGCGCGGTGGCGGCGGAGTAGGAGGGTGGACCAAGAGGCGAGTGGGGCGGGGCATGGGCCACCCTAGAAGCCGCGGCAGGCGACAATTGGTAGCCACCGCTGACAGGTGAGTTTTGGCCATCGTGGCCATTGATGGCCGCCACCAAGGTGGCCAGGTTGTTGCGGCTGGTGTTGCCCCGCTGCTGCGCCTGGAACTTCTGCTGCTGCTGCAGCTGTTGCAGCAACTGCTGCTGCTGTTGCTGGTAGGCCATCGGCGGATGTTGCAGCGGCGCGCTGCTGTTGCCGCCGCTGTTGCTGTTGTTGCTGCTGTTGCTGCCGTTGCTGGCCGTCGACTGTTGGCTCTGCAACTTGTTGCTCCGCAGCGACATGATTGTGGGGCACGAGACGCCTACTTTACTCCTTCATTGTCACGTGACGTTGGTGGTGCGGTTCGGCTAATTGGTGGTTAACACGCCCGTGTGCGTGGTTTTCCTTGTTTTTCTCTTCGCTCACCCGCACTTCACTTTTCTTGTGTCACTTTTCAAGGGTTTCACTTTTGTTTCGGCGCCCTAATTGCTGCAATTAAAATGTGGTTGTTCGGCGGTTGTTGCATGTTGCTCGTGTTTTCTGGGCCAGCAGGCAACAAGAACCATTTGACACTAGATTCTACTGGCAGATATTCTAAGAATGTTGTGTTAATATCTGTGTTTATAGCGCTTAATGTGTCCTAATAGTTTTTTTATAGGCCCTTGGCAACGAAAACTACTGAATTTTCCTATAAATACATTATATTTATTTCACCTTACTCCTTTCAACACAAAACAAGAAAGGAAGCTAGCTTCGGCAAGCCGAAGCTTATATACCCTTGCAGTTACTAAATATGCCGAACAAAATACATAAAAGCTAAAGAGCATCGAAGCTATGAGGATTTTTCTATTAATTTTCCATATTGTTCATATGACAGCTATATAATATAGTCGTCCGATTTTAATGAAATTTAATTTGTAACTCAAGACTCATTAGAAAACTCTATATTCCAAACATCATTATTGTCTGATGAAAAACAACGAGGTTATAATTATATTTCCGTTATTTCTATATAGATTTTTCGATCTTTCCTATGGCAGCTCTATGATATAGTACTCCGATTTTTATGAAATTTTTTTCTCAACTTAAGAGTATTTAAAAAACTTTATGTTCCAAAAATCATGCTCGTGGCATTAAAAACAACGACATTATAATTTTTTTTCCATTATTTATATATATATTTTTTGATCTCTCCTATGGCAGCTATATGATAGAGTTATCCGATTTTGATAAAATTTAATCCGAAATTCAATAGCAGTTAGAAAACGCCATCTGGAAGGAGTCAAGTCGATCTGATCAAAAACAACGGTGTAAACATTTTTTATTTCATTCTCTTGTATGGGAGCTATCCGATATAGTCGCCCGATCCGGCTCGTTCCGACATATATACTGCGTGCAACAACTACACAACTTTTGGGAAAGTTTCAGCGAGATAGCTTTAAAACTGAGAGACTAGTTTACATAGAAACCGACAGGAGGACAGACAGACAGACGGACAGACGGACAGACGGACAGACGGACAGACGGACAGACGTACATACATATTTCGATTCAGATGGTGATGCTGATCAAGAATATATATACTTTATGGGGTCTGAGGTGTCTCCTTCACTGCGTTGCAAACTTCTGACTGAAATTATAATACCCTTTGCTCTGCAAGGGTATAAAAAACCTCTCATGTTCAGATTGTAAATGCATAAAAATAGGTTTCTCCTTTAAAGACCCTTATTCACTATTTATTTAATAGTCAATTTTGTGAGCACTTTTCCAACATTTGGTGCAGATATAAAGTAACACACAACAATATTCCTTGCATGGTTTTTCCCTTTGAGAAAATTAACTGAAAATGCTGCCAGCATTTCCCACAAATGCCACAAAAGCCACAGTAAAAACACACAAACTCAACCACTTGTCGTTGTCATCATCAAAAACGCTGCAATTGCTGACAGCTGGTGAAGATTTTCCGTGCACAAAAGATGGGGGAAAATAGAGTGAGAAACACACTGATGGAGTAGATGGAAATCCATCCAAGGAAATGGAGCATCATCATGTGCACTGCACCACTGCACCACTTGAACTGAAACAAAAGGAGCCAAAACGAACAGAGGGAAGAAGGCTCCAAAGGATTTCTGGAGGATGGCCAAAGGCAACAAAGGGAAGCGGTCGAGGACGAGGGAATCGAGGGGAGGCCACTCCAAATTGAAGTGTCCGTGGGGAAATCGAGTGTAACCAAGCCAAGAGGGTTAAGGAAAGGGGTAAGCACACTGGGGGAGCTACTTTCCGAGCCAATTTCCAACCCTTTAAGATAAACGAAAGGGTTAAATTATTGCGATAATCCAAGTGATTGTAGGAAAATCTTTAATAATCGCCAAAATGTTTTTATTACATTGCTTGATGGTTTATGCTCTGTTTTCAGATAATCTACTTACTTACTTTATAGTAAAAATGCAAGAAAACCCTTATCTATTCCACTAAATATTAGATAATAGCATTAGTAACATGACATATGGATTTATAACTTCACGAAAATAGATTTATGTGTAAAAAGTTAAAACCCAAAGTGCGAAAATGCATTTAAGTCCCAATGGTGAGACAAATCCTTTTTGCAGCTCAGACAAACTGAAATCCAAACTCAAATGGAAAGCCAAAAAGTTTCGCCGCAGAATTCCAAATCCTTTCTTCCTTTTCCCCCTTCAACAACCATGGAAAGGTCAAAGGGCAACGAGTTGAGCCAGCTCAAGTTGGAGAAAATCTTATTAGAATGCATATCGGAACGCAGGTAGAAGACTTCAGCTCCGTCGAAAGGTTCAGACAAAGATATGGCCGAGGAAGCAGGGAACAGAGAAAAGGAGAACGGAGACACGCAAAGTTCACAGGTAAGCGGAATTACGGCAAGATGATGATGATGACAGGATACACAAAAAGGGAACCGTCGAGGAATCGAAGAAAAAATAATAAACCTTGCACGACAGCTGGAACCGAAAGATATAAAGGGATTCCAGGGGAACACAAAAAGCGAGGGACCGCCCAGAAAAGATTATAACTGCGGCGAATTAAAATTCAACCTGCGTCTCTCTGCTGCTGAACTTGTTTTCACTTTTTCTTGATCTTTGAATGTCAACAAATTCCCTAACATGTTTTTCTAAAAATTGGATTTATTTATTTTAAAATCATGTGCTCTTTGGGCTTTTAAATAGCGCCACTCTTTTTAAAGGAATTTCTAAAAATATGCCTTGAAGCAAAGGCCCTTTTAAGCCTACTTTTTATGACCGCCTATTTAGGCATGTCTATATATAAATATTTTTTTAATTTCTTGCACGGTTTGCTGGCCCATAAAGTCGATAAAAAAAAGTAGAATTGGTAACCAGAACAGCGCTGGGCGAAATCTTGGCTAAGAGTAACAGTAACTAGGCTTTTGTGGTCCGCTGTCCGCAGTTTTGTGGTTGTTTGAGTTGCCTGTTCCAGTGCACTGACTTTTGGCTCGTTAGCTTCGATTCTGTTTTAAGTCGGCAGTTAGTTAACTTTTTTTTATTTAGTTTGTGGATTTGGCGCGCGACTCACATTAAAAGGCGGCCAGGCGAGAATTGAAGAGAGCTCAGGAAGTGGAGGAAAACGGGGGCATTTGTTGCTAAAGGCGGTACAAGTACACAAAAAAAAATAGTAGCTACATTGCCTTGTACATTCATGGTTGATTGACCCTATCTCTTAAATTTAAATATAAAAAATAACACCATTTGTTATTCCTGTAATTAAACACAAGCACTAAGGAAGTAAGTATTAAGTGCACTTTAAAGCCCACAATATGAAACTTTTTTATGTCGACATTTGTTTTTAATGAACGTCCATTGAAACAGAGTGCAAAAGAGACGGCGCCAAGAGAAGAGGGGCGATTAAATTAGCGAATGCGTTGAATGCAGGGGTGTGTGAAGGGGGGCTTAAGGGGGTTGAGGGTGCAACATATTGCATATTGCACGTTGCACATGTGGAACGACGCAAGCAACTTGCAACGTCAGCAGGCGCATATTAAAAAAAATATATGAGGAAAAGCTCCAACAAAGAGGGCCTATCCCCCTCTCACTCGCCGGCAGTCTCCGTCTCTTTCTCACTCGCCTTGTGGCAAGTTCATTGAACCTCATTTACAGTTCAGTAGTTTAGCGATTTTATTCTCATGGGAAAGAGACGGAAAAGCGGGCGAGTGAAAGAGAAAGACAACCGAGAGGGAGGCCCGATTTTCATTTTTGGGGCAGCTCTGGCTTTGCAAAAAAACAAAACTAAATACAGTCTGCCCGCTTTAATAAATAAAAGCCTACATTAAGTTTTTACCCAGAAAGTCAACTATCTCGCAGAAGGAAATTAACTTCAGTTTTTATTATAAATTTTATGAAAATTTCCAATATGTACTAAAAGTAGATCGAGCTATGGGAATATCCGGCTTAGGGAATTTCGACTGTATAACCAAACAATGGATTGCAAAAAAAAAAACCAAATAAATGTGAGACAAGAAAGGAAAGCGTTGGGAACAAAATAGTAACAAAAACTAATGCGATTTGCGGCAGCAACACCAGCAAAGGAAAAAACCTCCCAGATTCATGGATTTTTCGTTTTTCGTTTGAGAGGCGCCGCCAGCCAAAAGCAATCAAATCCAATTAAGAGCAAGAAAAAATCCACAGCAAAAACAGATAAAACTTTGGGGGCAGAACTTTTTTACTTTTCACAAAAAGTATGGTTTATGTAAAAGCACCGACAAAAATAACAAACGTAAAATAATAACAACTTCCAGCACACGCGACTTCATACAACAAATTTGTCGAACTCCATAAGGGAAACATGGAGGCAGAGATGGAGATGGAGGAAAAACGGAGGCAGCAACAAACAGAAAAGGCAATTCAAGCCGAAACAGCAGCAAATAGCAAAACCAACAACAATCAACTCTTTTGACCAGCAGCTGTCGCACAGTGGGCAATTAGGGGTAAATAAATTGTCAGATAAATAAATTGCAATCCTTTTGATCTAAAGTTAGCAAGTAACTCGAAAATTCTTTTAATTGTTGAATATAACATATGCAACTAATGTTTTTTTATTTGATTATCCTAAATTACGGACTGTTAATGTTAAATCCCATTCCACTGTGCCAAGCTGCACAATCCATAAGTACAAGTGTTCGGGGTTGCTGCTAATGGAACACAATTCACAATTCACTGGGAACTCGCTGTCTCTGTCTGCACCCCTCGCTCTCGCTCCCCAGTCTCCCCGTCTCTTTCTGTCGTTGCAACGACAATGGCAACAACAAAAGCAAAACAGCGGCAGACAGCAAAAACCAATGGACAAAAACACAAACAAAACGGTGGACCAAGAGTCGTCATCCTCAGTTGTTTTTGCTGTTTTGGTAAAAACTTCAACTCCCCGGAGAAGTGAAAGAGATGGGTATATTGGTGGGGGAAAGGGAGGGGGAGTGGTTGCCGGCAGTTAGTGCGTTCCACAGAACGTTCGCATAAATTTAAATTTGCGCGCAAACGGCGCCCACAAAGCCGAACAAAAAAAATATATAAGCCATACAGTGGATATTCTACAAAAGGGATTATTTGTAACTCATTGCAAAGATGCCTTTTTTTTAATGTGAAAGATAGTTTTAAATATGTTAGAAGATCTTATCTGGATTCTTTCTTGGGTTGACAGTTTTATAATGTACCTAAGTTACTATTTTCTGTATTAGATACAAATGTTTAATTAACGAAGTCCCACTGTTCGGCAACGCCAAGGAATGGCAATAAAAGGGAGCAAGAGAATGCGTTTTTTGGGGGTTGCTGGATGCTGCAAAGGGGGGTTCGCCCTAAAAGGGGGGTGGATTATGTGATGTGGGGGGAGGCGGGTCGAAAGTCGGAGCAAAGTGGAGTAAACTGAAGTCTGGAGCACAACAAAAAGTAGTGAAAGAGGCAGAAGAAGATAATGCCTAGGAGGGGGTGAAAATCCCGCAGTATACACACCACTACCAGACTTTTCCTCTATATACATATACACGGGTGAAAAAAGGAAGAAAAGCAAAGGAATCTGTCTAGACAACATTGTAAGTAGATAAAAATATTTTGTCGGAAAAATCACCCATGGAAATAATGAAATATGTAATTTCCTACCAACTTTTCCCGTCCCTTTCTGATATTCTATCGCTATCTCTTTCATTCAGGTAATACCGTTTTTGATAAGGAAGCAATTTTAGCCCATTTCACTGTTATTTTTCAATTGCACCATCATTAAAGTTGTGTTTACGGATAAGATAAGACACGATAGTGTTAAATGTTTCCACATTTTTCGTGTTGAAATTCAATTTAGCGAACAAGCGTGTTGCGGAAAATTCATTTATTTATGCATATTTAACATATTTATGCATATAAACACAAAACAGCTGCCAGAAATTACTGTAAAGTATTTTCTGTTTACACAAATGGTTAAAAGAAAGAAAGAGAGAGTGAGATAGGTAACTGTTTATTTTTTGCTGGTTTATTGTTATTTTCTGTTTATGCTATTTTTATGGCCCCTCTTTCCTCTTTTTTTACATTCTTTTGTGTTATTGATTTCACTTTTTTACCAGAGATTTTGGATGGTTTTTTAAATACTACAGAGTCGTGGTCCACAAAAATTTTAAAACATATTTTCAACGCATAAATGATCTGAACAGCTAAGGTTTATACAGTTTTCGTTAGCTATCAATAATTTTTTGAAAGTCTTGAGTCATATATTTAATCTTTTAGAAGCGTTCACTGTAATCGAATTCACTTAAAAGTATTGCTTTTCTGGGCTTGCATTTCTGCTTTATTTAGCACCTGTCGCAGCTGATTTTTCATTCACAATATTTATTTTCCTTGGTTATTTTTTTAGGTGCGCATTTGTAAGTGAAATTCCTATAGAAAATCAATTAAAAATAACTAAAGGAATTTTAGATTAAGTTTCTCGGAGAGAATTCGATTGCTTGTGGGTGTGTGTGTGAAGAGAGAAGTTGTAAAACCGGATTTTCCTTTTGGGCGCTTTTGTAGTTTTCGTTGCCTTTTGCACTTTGTGTCGATCTTCGATTTTAGAGCCCATTTGTATACAACATGGGGATGTTAAAATGTTAAAACAATTTTCATTTCTTTACATTTTCTTTGCATTTTTTTACTTTGCTTTTGTGTTATTTTTTTGTTTTAGTTTGCACTTACACTTGTTGATTTTTTATTCAATTTTATTTGTATTGCGTTTTTTCTTTTTTCTGACGTTTTCTTTCGCTTTTCTAATTTTACTAATAATTTATTTAAATCAAACTAACGCACGCACACAGAGGCACGTACTCACACTTACACGCAAGCACACAATCAAGAAACGTCAAGCGACGCGCCGCAAAAACAACAAAAACAACGAAAAAGGCGGCGAATGAAACAAAAACAGAGGTTTTTAAATTATCTTTTCCTCTTCACCGTGAAATTAAACTAAATTGAAACTAATATCGTCGTTGATCCGAATTTGTTTATGTTTTTTGTGTTGTTCTCTTCGCGATGGCGTCGACGTTTTTTTCACCACAACAAGAGCGGCTTTAAGAGCGTGAAAAAGAGAGAACCAAAATGCCTTAGTTTCTGTTTTTTTTGCACGGCGGTATTTATTGTATTCAGTTGTTAGCGGTTTCGGGATCCAACTTTCCGCGCGCCGCCTTGTCGTTTTGCCGATCGGAGAAAAAAAACTGGCTCCAAAAACTGGCGACCAATCGGACCTCCCTTCAAAATGCTCCAGCTTCGATATATGACTAAAAAATCCATAGCTTTGTTTTATACCTTTACGCTAATGGTTGGCGTCTCGGATAGAACTCAAACATTATAAGCTGATTTTTCGAATAATTAAGCTGATTTAATTGTTTTTTTACTTAATTTAATATAGTTTACATTTTCTAATAAAGTATTTAATACGCTCTTATATTATTAAAATAAGCATATCTTTTCAGCTTATATAATATATATAATTTTTTTTTTAAGTTATTACTTTTTTAATCAGTAGAGTTTGTTTCATGATTATTTATATTAATATTGTTTCCTGATTACTTTAATAATTTTAATCAAATTATATACTGCGAATGTAGTAAACTTTCATGTAAATGTTTACTTAATAATCCCACATGCATATTAGATGCATTATAGCTTGATTTTAGAATGAAACTAACTCCGACTCTTTCCCAACGAGCTTCGTTGTTAATTATGAGAACTCGAATTCAATTAGACTTGCCTATTGATTTGCAATTCACACCCACAAAAGCATCCCCCAAACGATAATTGCTAATTTGAATTGAAAACAAAGCAGGCGAGCAATAGAGTCTGGAAAATCTCGAGCAGCTATTGAAAATCAATTTGCATTCCGCACCACAAATATTTAAATGTTAATTCGGCTCTCCAAAAAACTTAAGTCTCTCAAATCCAATGAAGCAATCGGCAAATGAAAATCTTTTCGGGGAGGCGAAAGAAAAACAAGAACCGCACTTCAAAAGCAATTTCACCTTGTTTTCCACACACACAAACAAAAATAGTGGATAAACAATGGCGCGAGGCAAATATCTTTTTTGGCCATATATAACTTTCGGGTAAGGAATTTCCCAGACTGCTCTTCAAGAATTTTCACGAGTGGTGGCGTCTCCTATTTTTAGGCTCACTATGAAAACACCAAACAGTAAGCTTCCGAGAAGTTGAACACAAAGTTTTAACTTGAATATCAACTAACTATTCAACTATTTTGCATACTTTGAAATTACTTTAATTCAAAATCTAAAAACGTACTTCAAGATATCGCAATAAATTAAAATAATTTTAATAAAAGTACGAATTAAATTGCTCTATATTTGTTTTAAGAAACACAACAATTACAAACTAAACGCAAGCCCAGCACAAATAGATATTTTACATATAGACTCTATATATAGTAAGTTCTATTTAGTAAATAAAACAGGAAACGGAAACATCATTTGCTCTAGTTGGATATTTTTGGTAAGGGGAGGGGGAAAAAGTGTGAAAAGAGGGGGAATAGCAGAGGAAAACTCAGTGCTGGAATTTTGTTGTTGCACCAAAACGCCGGCAATTGAAAGGCGCAGGTCCACAAATAAAAATAGAGAGGAAAATCCAAAGACAAAAGGCAGTCGACTTTTTCAGGGAGAGAGCAAAACAAAAACAGTTTGAGAAGTGCTCGAGGTTTGCGAAGCACTGTTTCAAGCAGTTCAGTTTTTATCGCATGCGATAAATTCGTTTGTAAAGTGCTGTGATTTTAACACTGTTGAGAGTTTAACCACTTTTAAAGAACGCCTTTTTACAAGAAATAAATATTTGTAAAAGTAATAACACTAAGAAATAACAATAATATACGATTGATTTATTTTAGACAATTAAACACAGAAGGTTGTATGATTTTTTCCCCCTTCGCTGTTTTTTAAAGCATTATAGTCATTGCAGTCAAAAAAAGTACAATAAAATACAAATAGCTATGCTGAAATATTTTCAGTCAAAAGATAGTAAATAAACTGATGAAATCAGCAAACAGTTTCTAGTTTTATTCAAACGCCAAGGCAATTTTCCCACCCACCCAAGGAAATTCCACTTCGTTTCGAGCGAACAATTCGTCTTCAATGTCAGAGTTTCCCCGACTTCTTTAACCCATTTTCCCGGGCCCTTCTGCATTTTCGCACAACCTTCTTATCCTCCAGCAAAATTAACTTGAGAAGCTTGATAAAAGGGCTGCCATTCATTCATTCAGCAGCTTTGCCGAAAACTGTTCTCAATGGCAAAAGCTGCCAACTTAATTTATATTGTATTTTAAATGCAAAATGCACAGCATTTAACAATAGGACAAAGCAAAGAGAGGTGGGCGGGCATGGGAAAGTGGGCGGGGCACAGCTGAAAAGCTGCTTTAATTTTACAACTTGACAAATTGAATGTTTGCAGAGTGAAGAAAGCAAAACGATGAAGGAGGCATAAAAACAGCAAGTAAAAGAGATAAGACTTTTCATAAAAACTATGATAAATAAATACTATTGCCCAATTTAATTAGTATAAAATCTTAACTTTATTTCTATAAAATGTTTTGTCTATCCAAAAAGCAGTTCGCATTGTAGCTCCTGATTTTTCTCTGTGTACAATTGGCTGCATTTAAACAATAGAGATGCAATGGGGTAACAGAAAAATCAGAGTTTCAAAGGGGTAACCAAGGCAACCCGTTTGCAGAGACTTTTCCTTGGCATTCCCTTGGATTCCTCATTCGGAGTCGAGGAATCTCTGGCAGTCATAACGATAATTGACAATCTGGCCAAGACAAATTAACATTGCCAGAGGTCAAATTGCATTTGCTCGGGGAATTCGTGATTGCTTCCGTTTTTTTGCCGTTCGAGCCATTGTTATTGTTGGCCCGAAAGCCCCGTCCCCCGAAAATAGGTAGGCAAACCTTTATTAGGAATGCAATGCACGCAACGCAAAGCGGCCATAAAGACGTTTGGGCCAAAAGCAGCAGCCAAATTAAAACGAGCCAGGAAAAAAACAACAACAGAAATAAGCAGACGTGCCACGGTCAAGAGTGACCTCTAACCCTCCGCCCACCGCCCACCTCCCCTTTCCGTGGGCCACCCACTGCGATAGTAAAGCCAAAAGTCAACTAAAGTTTCACTATAAAAGCCAGGGTTTCTGCGACTGTTCAATCATATCAGTTTCTGTTCAATCAGCAGCAACAATCAATCCAAGATGTTCAAGTTTGTGAGTATCCGAGGAGTCCTTAAAAAACTATAGAAACTATAAGGAAATAATATAGAACAAAAAGAATATACTTCAGAATTAACTATCAAAGGATTTAAATTATTTGAATTAAATCTTTTAAAATATTTCAAATTCATTTGAAAACTAATCTGAGTAAATCGGTGTCTTAACTGTCATTCAAATCGATTATAAGGACTCATGTTGTTCAAGTGGGATTATTAGTATCCCCCGAGGCTTTAATTACTTTCATTGGTTAATCGAATCCCCCTTTTCTGCCCACTCCCCAACCAGTTCGCTCTGTGCCTGTTCGCCCTGTTGGCCGTTGCCTTCGCAAAGCCGCAGTTCCTGACCGCCTACAGTGCGGCCTCGCCCGTGGTGGCCGCCACGCCCTACGCCTACTCGAGCGGCCTCTACGCCTCCCCCGTACAGTGCGGCCTACACCAGCGGAGTCTACGCCTCGCCCTACACCTACGGAGCCTACCCCTACAGCTCCCTCTACCTCAGGCGCTAATTCCCCCTCTCCGAGTGATCACTGTACTCCGATGATTGCCGACAACGACGACGACGACGACGACCTAATGAACAAATAAACCTGATAAAACAGATAAAGATTCGCATACCAAAGGCCAGCTATTTGCTGTCATTTGCTTTGAGCAACTGCAGATTAAAAGGGGCTCAAAATAAAAGGGGCGGGCCAAGAATGCACACTCAAACAAACAACCTAGTAAAAATATTGCACCTTAAAAACTTAAAAAAAATGTTAAAATAAATATAAACTTTGAAAACTGTTAATGAGAATCTATTAGCTATTCTATTTCTTCAATTTATATGAACCAGAAACTATGTTCATTCAATTCTTGGAATGAAGTTCTGTATTTTTCTTTCTACTTGCTCGCTTTTCTCGCAGTGCATAGTGTGTGTTTGCGGGAGCAAAGAGGCGTATTTAAAATATTTACGAATTTGTGGCTGTGTTGTTGCTGGTTGCTGGTTTGCTTGGCAATTTCCGTTAGCTATCAAAAACATTCGCTTTGGCTCGTATATCATGTTTTATGTGGCGAAGGGGTTCCTGCTGAAAGCAGGCTGCTGGGTGGTGGGTGGCAGAGGGGGAGGCGCCCCAGGGGTGCGGGGTAAACTGTCGCTGGCATGCGTCGGCGTGCATTTGCATCGCAGCTAAAATGTGCAAATTATGGCAACTAAGTTGCCTTATGTTGTCCCAAGCACGCAATGGGTTAAGTGGAGTGCACTCTAAAAAAAAGTATAGCAACTTTTAATATGTAAAAAGAAACAGTAAAAAATAAAACCATTGTTGTACTTCTTTCAATAGATTTTGTGCTTCTTTAAAAGACAAATATAGAGGTATGTGAAATATGAATTAAACAGTCTTAAATTTAATTTCATACAAATATGAACTTTGAACTTACAATATTTTAAGGAGTATAGACTCAATATATAATATATTTTTGGCCAGAAATAACTTCAGAGTGTAGGGAGTGTCAAAAACTTTCTTTGAGCCTATGTTTCACTTTCTCCTGCCGCCATCTTCACACAGAGCCCTCCATTTCCTGCTCGCACTTTCCCTTCCTTTCGCTTTCCCCTTCCCCTTCCGTTTCCCCTTTTCGCCTTTCTCCATTTTATTCCTACTTCTCATTTTTAGACGTCAGCTTCAGTGTCGCCATTTGCATAATGCATGTGTGCTAGTGTGTGTGTGTGTGTGTGTGTGTGTCAGAATTTGCAGCATCCTTTCAGGCGCAATTGTGCACCGTGGTCCTGCGAAAAAAGAGCATCGGAATGCATATGGAAATTGGCCCGAAATGAAAAATATGTGCAACATCCTGAATAAATGCATTTAGATAAGGCAAATGCGGTTAAACGTTGAATAATGTTCATGCTAATGTTGTTTTCCACTTGATTGGCGAAAGTAGGAGCCATTTACGAGAAGAATAAATGCCATAAAACATAAATAACGTAAGTGAAAGGGTAGCAGATGAAACAAATGGAGTAGGGATAATGTAAAATATGTTTGTCTTAGTATGATAAACTAACTAGCACAACAAATTATCTTTGAGGGATTCAAAGAAAATAAATAATATGTAACCAAACTTATTAAATATTAACCCCCACATGTAACCATTAACCCCAGAATTTAGCCATTTAATTTTCCTCCTTTAATGTTTACAAAATAGAAATAAAATGGCAATCAACTTTCCACTTAACTTGCCATTAATTTGCCGCTGTTTTCTTAGGACTTTGTCGCCGAAAGAACAAACAGAAGCTGTTTTTCCAGGCCGAAACACCACTGTATTTGCAGAGGGAAAAGCGGGGGAGAGCGAGAAAAATCTGTCATCAGCAGGGAGCCCACCTCAAAACTTGTTTTCTTTTTATTTTCTCTTTGAGCTTAGTACGAACTTGAAGAAGTGTGTGTAGAAAAAAGCGGGAGGGAAATTTGGCAAAATCTAAATCTAATTTGCATCGTGGGGCGGATAATGGTAAGCCACAGGAGACGGCGACTTGGAAAAGAAAGAACCCACGCGCCACGCTTTTCCGAATTTCCCCCCAACACCATCTCATATATCTTTTCACATACGCACACGCAGGGAATGTCAAAAGTCATTGCATATTTTCGGGAGCATTTGTTCGAGCTTCTTTATCCTGCCACACGCTCCGATTTTCCAGGATGCGTAGTCCATCAATGTCAAACTTACCTGCAAGAAAAGAAAAGAGCAAAGGTGGTGAGATAAAAGGCAATTCGTGGCTGGAGGAGTGGCCGGAATAATTCAGGTTAAATAAAGTTAAGTGTTTGCATGGGCCCCTCAGGTAAATAACGAAATCAAATGAGCCATCAGGAAGCTCTAAGGAAATGGGACTTCAAGTTCACTTATCGAAGTGTTTGGAGAAAACTAGATAAAACTAAATAGTAAAAGTTAAAGGATACATTCTCAAAATATAACCATTTTCTTGTTAAATAAATTTGAAAAAGTTTATTTAGGGTTTTAAGAGCCATTTAACATTTTCCCCCGAATTCAACAGTTCGCAAATGTTTTTCTTTTGTCCTTTTTGGCTCCCCAAACAATTGTTTGTCCTTGGAAGTTTCTTTTGTGGTCAACGGACTAAGTGAATGTGACGCCAAATCAAATTAAAATTAACATCAGCGATTGTCTGGAGAAAAGCTGATAATTAAATTTGCCAGCGGAGACGACGAGATAATTAATCACAGGCATTAATAAAGTTCATGTGGTAAGGTGAATATTTTAAAGCAATTCGCCTTTAGTAATTTTAACTTGGAAACTGCCTAGTCAAAAGCTATCCATTCAAGAAAATCTATGTTATTCTGCTCAAGGGAATCAACTAATTTTAGCTTTTATTGTTCGAATTAAATTTCGAGGAAAACGTTTCCATGCTTTTAATTTATTACTAAATCATTACGCTTATCAATTTTCGCCCCTGATTAATGATGGCCACAAGCGAGGATTCGGGACAGACAAGCAATTAATTGCCGGACCATTAGCAGGACGAACAAAGGGATCCGGCGAGGCACTCAACAAGTGATTACACCACGCTATCCTTCCTTCGAGGCTCTTTTCGCTGGAAACGTATTTAACCCCTCGAAGGAGGGCTCCTTTGCTCTTTTTTCCGGGAACATTAAAAATTCATTGCCCAAGTGTGAGTGTGGAAATGAACAACAGTTTTCGGCCAACCTCTGTTAAAAATGCAGGACAACAATTTCCGCTTCCTGTCGCCGGGTCGCTGCTTCAATCTCAGCTGCTGTTGCTTTCGCTTGCAGAACATCCCGTCCCGAAAAGTAATTCCGCACAAAAAAAAAAAGAAAAAAGGATAATGCCCGCCTATTAACCGGGGCGCAAATCAACGTCCTGACGAGCTGGAAATCGTTTGGCGCTGACAGGACATCTCAATTGGCACTTCACTTCTGTGTCTATATCTCCCACTCCTCCGATATCGCCTCCTATCCGTTATCCTTTTTTCTTCGCCTCTGTATCTCGCCGTTTCCTCTGATTACACACACACACACACACAGAGAGAGAGACACACACGCAAGATGGAGTCAAGTCTGGCGTTAAATTGAATCCGCGGCACAGTTTTTTCCTCACTTTTCACTGCGTGCAACGTGGCGTATAATCGATTTTCATTCGGTTCATCCCAGCACACTTATGGGTACATGATTCCCCTTTATTCTCCGGCTTGTAAATTTCCTCAGCCGTCAATGGTAAAGGTTCGCACTCAACTAAAACTAAAATCAATCGCAAACGCGGTCAAAATAAAACAAAACTGTCACGATGACCGTTTGTGGGATGGAATACACTGAGAGAGATGTAGGTGGTTTTCTAACTAAGCTGGTTCAAAAGAACAAGCATGGAACTCTGCTAAACAGTTTAACTCGATTTGTAAGTGGCAAACTTTAGTTTTAAATAGTTGTTTAGAAATTACAAAGAAACCCACTAATAATTTTAATTAATATATTTAATTTTTTAACGTGACTTTCAGTCAACGCAAAACGAAGCTTAGAAGGTTGAGAAGAATGAAACACTAAAACATAAAACCCACATAAATCAATAGTGGAAAAGGCACGAGCAAAGGGCATAAGATTTGCAATGGGCACGAATGCGAAATACAAGCCAAGTAAATTCAATTTTTCCCTTACTACTCGAACCTCCGCTTCTGTTGGGAAAACTTAAATTAACGCAAACTTTCTCTGGTTCAACTTGTCATCGGGTGGATCCATGTCCGAGCGACCTGACCTAAAAGTTTTCATGGAAAACCCTCTCCTTCCCTTTTCCCTGACCACCCGCAATAATAAACTCGCCTGTAATTACATGAGCAACTTTCCACATGGACAACACGGCGTATAAGTAACCGTTTTTATTGTCATTTGCCGCGCCACTCAATAAGGGGGCGTGGCAAATCAGGGGAAGGGGGAGAGGAAGGTAGGTTGGCAGAGCTTTGAATGCAATTATGTGCAGCACATGACCAGAATTCTGTCACCAGAGACGAGGGAAGAGGGGGGAAAGGGGGCGTGGGACAACCAACGGAAGGACGGCAGGAAGGAAGTCGGAAGGATGCGGCGGACAGGACGGGGGATGCCAGGTAAGTGGGGCAAGCAAATAAAATATAAATAAATAACAGCGGGCGAGCCAAACGAGAAAAACAGTAAACAGCGACAGAGGGAAAATAGAACAACGCAAAGACATTTTCTTTTTTTTGTAAACTGCATAAAACGCTGTGTGCACACAAACGTATGTACTATATGCACTTGCAAATATTCCCCAACAATAAAAATACAGAGAAACTAAAATATTTTGTACAAAAAACCCTTTCAATTTATGGGAAACTTTCTCCCTGTGGAGTTACAAAATCAACAACGAAATTGGAACTTTGATTGTTTTCAAATAAGCGAGCAGCATTACATTTTTAAGCCAGGCAATTTGCCAGCAAGGTGGTCACAGTTTCCCCCTCCCCCTCCCGCTTTTCCGACCACCCCGCTTTCCCAGCTTTCCCTCACAAGTTTTCCTTTCTGACCAAACCCAAATTGAGGCTTAAGTTGGTCATTTGCGGTCGGCGCTGTCTCCGTTGTTGTTGGCTACCTTTTGACTTGTTTTCCTTTTGGTTTTCCCCGGCCTTTTGTTTCGTCTGATGTGACTGTGGGGAAAAGCGAAGTGGGAAAGGTTCAAGGACTCCCGTTTGATTTGTCTGTCTCTGTCTCGTTTGCAAATAAAGATAATCTTTCCCAGAGCTGCGCATTTTTATGGTAATTTCCCTGGGCTTCGTTTTTCGCCAAA